GCATGTTTTCTCTTTGTTTTTCTGCCTGGAATCCTTGAAGATGATGTGGTGAGTCTGTGTCTGAGACCCAAGAAGAGAGGCCTGGCTTCTATATCTAGTAATAATAATTGGCTCAGCTAATAGAAGAGGAAGAAAGGCAGGTGTGCTCTTAATTAGTCACTCACAATTCCTGTCCTGTGCTGTTAATTCACGGAACTAACACTTATCCAAAGGATTGCCCCACTACCACCAAGACATAAAGTGTGTCCAGCCTCTCTGAAAATGTATGACAGTGCTACCCATTAGGAGACAGGATGGACACTCAGACCTTCTTCAAGACATTCCCTAATCAAGTGTGAATTAGTCACCTGCCCTTCAACCAAACAGTTAATAAAATACTACTTCATCTATTCATCTTCCAGCTGAGAAGACCTGACTTCCCTTTACATGCTATCCGCTGCACATAACGTTTAAGAACTTTTTTCATCTATGGGCTAAACCTGCCATCCTAAGGATAGTATCTCCCGTTCGTTCCTTCAACCGCATATCCAGGTTGTCTTAATAGCTCATCAGACTTGTCTGTCCCACTCCCTAACCCAGAACCTCTTCTTCTCATGCATTCCCAATTTAAAGGGTAACATCCCACTCCCTACCTCCATCATGGCCAAATTAGAAAACTGGTACTCTTCTTTCCTACCATGTTGATGCTCTACCTCCACCTAGAAATCCCCACTCTAGTAGCCAAGCACAGTGCATGCTGAGTTCAAGGCCAACCTGAACTTCATTGTGAGACCTTGTATCAAAAAACCAAGGTTGAGGTTCATAGAGTCCTGACCTAACATGAGCTAAAAGAAAAAGGATGCCAGCTCCACCCTTGCCCTGGTGTGTGAGACGTAGTGTGTAGGCTCATAAAGCAGCAAGTGACCAAGAAGAACATGGGCTAGTTCTTAAACAGCCTTTCTTACTGGTTTGTTATTTGGAAGATATTTTAACAAATTACATCATTCTTTCTAGTGCCTGATTTGTTATGCCTGGTGGTGGTGGCGTATGCCTTTAACCGTAGCACTTGGGAGGCAGAGGCAGGTGTTTACGTTTATTATGAGCAGTTTTAATTTAGCATCTTGACAAGCAGCGTTTATCTCAACCAATTGAAAACCTTTATTGTGTATAATATACACAGTGATGTGTTATTATTATAGAAGAATAAAACAACCCAAAGAAAAGCTACAAGCTAAAAAGATGAATTCCAGCATTGTTGCTACTTTTAGCAAGAGGTCTTAATCATGATTTTGAAATAACTTCTAGAGTTTTATAGATTTCTTTACAAGGATAGTTGGGAACGCATTAAACATTTGGACCACTGTTTACATAAATGCTAGGAAGAGAATTTCCTCACAGTTCCCATTTCTGTTGAGCGTGCTATGGATTTTGATGTAAAAATCCCACATTCTACCTCGCGGTTGAGATTCAGCTGTAGAGCTGGGCAAGTGCATGGCTTATGGGCAGTCCCTCTGCTCAGCTCTTCTAAGTACATTCATTCCTTCTGGAATGCCTGCGGTTTCATTTAGGAACTGTTTCAGGACAGTGTTCTGATGTTTTCTTAAATCCCTGTTTGGAGAATGTCTTCTTGTTTCCTTTGCACAAAAAGAACAGGTTAGCTAGCTAGTGGTGGTGCATGCACTCCAGAGGCAGGCAGATCTCTGAGTTTGAGGACAGCCTGGTCTACAGAGTGAGTTCTGGGACAGCCAGGGCTACATAGAGAGACCTCGTCTCAGGACTGACCAACAACTGGACAGGTTGGGTGTCCCGAGTAATCATTACTTCTCAAACACAATTTGGAGATACTGCCCCTGTATTTTATAGTATTGATGTGGTAGTGAATAAGTCTGAGGCCCACCATTCCTCGTTGGATGTGGTTTTCTGTTTATATTTTAACAGAAATCCAGTACTTTTTATCAGGTGATGACTGTTCTCCTGCCTTTTTTGTTGTGAATATATTAGATGACCTAGTTAAGAAATACCATGTTTCCACATGGAAATTTTCAGTTCATGTTGTCTTCTAAACTTGTTCTTTTCCATTTTGTGGTGATTGTCACTGATTTGTGCTGCTAGAGATAGAGCTTAGCAGCTCGTATGTGCCAGGGAAACGCTGTGCTCCTGGGCTGCCTCTGGGTGCATGTGACACGCTGTCTTGAGCCTCTCTCTGTTTCAGCAGACGCACTTACTGCAGCTTTCATGTCACAGCCATCACTATCCGGGGCCATTTCTTTTCTTCCTGTCTTAGAATGGGACAAAGACAACCTGAGCCTGCTCTGTGTTGTGCTCACTGAGTCCTCTCCACCCCAGCGTGCCTATTCTTGATGTCCAAATGATTCTCTCTGTTGTAAATGGGGATCTTATATATCATTGACTGTTTATCTATATTTGGAAATTGATGGCTGGTGTTCTGTTTTGTTGAGACAAGGTTTCACTGTCTTGCCCAGAATGCCCGTCATCCTCCTACCGTGGCCTGCAAGTGCTGTTTACAGGTGTGAGCCACTTGTTGATAGCTGGGATTTGCAGTGGTGAACACTCTCATTCCCTTCAGCACAGAAAGGTTATTGAAAACAATACAATTTATTGCTTCATCTAAATCCACTGCAGTGTTTCTTTTGTGATAAGGAATGGGGTGTTTAGAGGAACATCCTCACCGAAGCTGTTCTCTTACTGGTGAGACTTGGGTTTCTCTGACATAAAAGCCTTATTCTGTAGAGACACTATCTCAGATGTCCAAAGATGGCTCAATGTTCCTCATTTTAGTCAAAATTTCATTGAATTTGGCAGTTATACACAGTGGTACACATCAAAATGTGACTTGAGGTTAATATTAACTTGTTATATTTGAAGTTAGCATTTTCATCTCAAACTTTGTTTTCAGGTAGTGGTTTTAAAATAGGAAAGACAAGTCATGACGTATCTAGTTAGAGTATCTGCCACCCTATAAAGTGACCACCTTGAGAACGAGCTTGTTATTGTCTAGGTTTGCTAATAATGGCTGTTTTGTGCCTTTGTTATTCTGGATACAGACTACTTTAGGTTCTTTCTGAGGTGTTGCTTTTTGTTGTTTATTTTTGGATGCACGTAAATGTTGTTATTAAATTGTATTATCCAGAGAGCCTGTCGTATCTTTTATTTTTTAATTATCTTCTCACCTAAAGATTATACCTACCTCACATTTTATTTTTTTAATTTTACTTTTTTAAAGGTAGACAAGAGTTCATAATAATTTCTGTCTTGTGTTCTGTGTCAAGTATTTCAATTACAGATGTGTATCACTGGGCCTGGTCTTTGTGTGCTTCTGCACTTGCACACGTACATGTAGGAACATGCTCGAATGCCAGAGCTCAACTTCTGTTGTCTCTCTTAGTCTCTCCATTTTAGTTGTCTGTGTCGGGGCCTCATTGCGCCTGTAACTGCACTGGCTGCCAGTGAGCTCCTCATTGTGCCTGTAGCTGCACTGGCTGCCAGTGAGCTCCTCATTGTGCCTCTAGCTGCACTGGCTGCCAGTGAGCTCCAGGAGTCTGCCTGTTTGTGCCTCCTTCCACACATGGCATCTCAGTTCTTGTGGTTTGCAATAAGCACTTTGCTGACTAAGCCATCTTTGTTCTTTTCTTTTTCTTTTTCTTCTTTTCTTTCTTTCTTTCTTTTTTTTTTTTTTTGTTTTTGTTTTCGAGACAGGGTCTCTTTATAGCCACAGCTGTCCTGGAACTTACTATGTACACCAGGCTAGCCTGTGATCCAGAGAGATCTCCTGCCTCTGCCTCCTGAGCACTGAGATCAAAGTGCCGCCACTCCCAGCCCACCTCTCAAATTTTTAAGAAAATAAATATCTTTTATCATGGGCTTTGATGCTCTCATCCAAGGCACATACAGCAAGAACTGCCGTCGTCAGGGTTGAGGTTGAGAAGCCCTGAGGTGAGAGGGTGAGAGAGAAGAGCTTAATTCTTAGGTGAACTTAGTCTGTGGGAGGCAGCTCCAGTTTGGTTTTGTCTCTTGTTTTAAATGTGACTGCTTCATGAGTTTGTGTGTCAGCTTTGAGCAGGGGTTGTGTAGTTGTCTCTCATTCCCTGTCAGTAGATGAGCTGCTGAGGTGAGCAGTCTAACTTAGAATTACACAGAAAAGTAAACGCTTTGCCTACCTAGAAAGTCTTTTCATTTGTTTAACTAACTCTTATGTGACTTAAGAGTAAGGAGAAAGTTACAATCATCAGTGTTAATGTCACACCTACTATAGGGTGTGCTGTCACTCACATGATTCATGAAGAATATTGGAAGCATATTTTTCTAGCTGCTGGTTGATATACTATATAACATTAGCTTATTAACCTGCCCCCCCCCTTCCCCAAAAAGATCTAAGCTGAAGGAGGCAAAGGCAGGCAAGCAGATCTCTGTATGTTTGAGGCCAGCCATGTCCTATAGAGTAAGTTCCAGGACAGCCAGAGCTACACAGAGAAACACTATCTTGAAACACAAAAGCAAATGAAAAATTATTGATGTGGTAGTTGCTGATTTTATTTGAAAAGTCACTTATATTTGAGTTGGCTGAATATGAATCCAGAAGTAATTCTGACTAAATTTGTTTCAGCCCAAACCCCTGAGACAAAGCAGTGTTTAGTTTAGAGAAAAGCCATCTTACTTTATCTAACCAGCATGAACTTTTTTTGGTTTTGCTTTTTTGTTTTTCGAGACGGTTTCTCGGTGTAGCCCTGGCTGTCCTGGAACTCACTCTGTAGACCAGGCTGGCCTCGAACTCAGAAATCCACCTGCCTCTGCCTCCCAAGTGCTGGGATTAAAGGCGTGCGCCACCACTGCCCAGCCAGCATGAACTTTTGGGGAGTATAGTGTTTTACATTGTCAAAGATTTTATTCAGTGAATCATTTTGACTAATTTTTTTTTGACATATTAGGGAAAATCTTTTCTCTTGTTAATAATTAAAATAAATTGGGCACAATATAATGCAATTACTTTCTTTTTTTACCAGAAGAGAGACAAATTACATGATGAAGAGGAAAGAAAAAGTGCCTGGGTTAGCCAAGAGAGACAGAGGACACTGGATAGACTTCGAACATTTAAGCAGGTAATAGAAGTATGATTGATTTACATCGTTTTTCAGAGAGAGCCATAAGAGGCTCTGACTGTAGGATTTCTGTGTAGAATGTATTCCTAGCTGTAGCAGTTTAATTGGCTTCCTTTTCTGTGGTCAAGTCAGGCATTAATAGTCTTTTGATTCCTGAGTATATAAAGAATAGGGAGTGTTAAGAAAGCCTAGGTTCTTTTGAATTAAAAAAAAATTGTTAATGTCAATAGTACAAAAACATTTTATTTCACTTCTATCAGAAAATTATCAGGCCTCCCCCCTTTAAATTTTCAATATTTTTTTATTTAAGCATTTGAAAATAATTTCTTAGCTTATACATTAAATAGTAATATATACATTTGATAGAGTTTATCTTAAGTTTTATGTACTGTTTCTTCCATTGAAGATTAAAGTCACATGGCTAGCTTTCTTGTTTGTGAGATAAGGTCTTGCTGTGTAGCCTTGGCTAGACTTGAATGTATATAGACCAGGCTGGCCTCAGACTCTTGGATGCTGGGATTAAACACAAGTGCATCTCAAGGCCCTGCACGTGGCATTTTTAAGCAGTCGGCTTAATTAGGTAAGAGGGAACAAGGCTTAGCATATTTGATAGTGATAATAAAGGAGTTGGGGACAGTTGTTTAAAAGATATTGACAGGCACAAGTATTCTAGTTTGTTTGTTTGTTTTATCCATGACTTTTGGATAAAATCAAAAAAGAGCCAAATAAATAACATTCTGTTAAAGGAAGAAATAACTAAGCATTTGTTGGCAGATTAATTTAATACAGTTTACTCATTCAATAACTTTGATATCTTAGAGATACCCCGGACAAGTCATCCTTAAGTCAACCAGATTACGAGTGGCTCATTCAAGAAGAAAAAGCACAGCAAGTCCTGTGCCCTGTGAGGAGCAGTGTGACTCTCTACCAGCAGTGCTACAGGGGGAGGAGAAACCAGAGGTGGGAGAAGGAGGAAGCCGCCTTGGGTCTTCACAGACAGCAGAACCCCGGAGCCTTGTCCAACTTGAAGACACTTCATCAGTCCGACTTGAATCCTCATTACCTCCTCATGCTGTCAGCTCTGAACTGCCTCCTCCCGAGTCAGCTCCACTGTTGACTAGTAGTCACCCCAAACCGTGTTCTCTTACTATAGCTCCTCTCCCACCCCCTCTTCCTCCAACACCTCCTCCTCCTCCTCCACCGCCTCCACCTCCACCTCCACCTCCACCTCTGCCTGTTGTAAAGGACAGTGGGGCCACCACCACTGCAGAGACACTGGAGAAAGATGTACTCAGGATGGAGGGCAGTGAGAAGAGCATCCCGAAGTCAGCCAGTGCTCCCTCCGCACACCTCTTCGATAGCAGCCAGCTGCTGAGTGCCCGGAAAAGGCTGCGAAAGACTGCAGAGGGTTTGCAGAGGAGGAGAGGTGAGTGAGCTGGACCCAGCTGACTCTGCAGTGAAGTGAGCACGGGGAAGGAGCTTTCCATTGAATTCTGTGTTACGCAGCTTAAAATACAATTTTTGAACATTATTTGATAGCAAACAAGCATTCATGGTCACAGCAGAGGAGAATTCTTATATTTTTGGTTGTGAGCCTAACCTTTAACGGCTGAGCCATCTCTCCAGCCCAGAGGAGAATTCTGTGATACTCACAGCAGCAGGTGTTTACAAACATGTACCCTCTCTTGATGTTATGCGATGTTAGCCATGTTCCTGAAGTAGCCTCTCATGTGACATTTGATTAAGTAGCACCTTTTGTGGCTAGGTTAAGAAAAGGTGTGAAGCCATTGGAGAGCCATCTATTTGGTCACAGTTTAGTAGTGAAGACTTAAGAGTGATCTTCATATAAAAAGACAAAGAACAGGAGGTTATATGTGTAAGTCAGCACATGGCCAATATGCATAATAAAGCTATTTCTAAACACATTTCCCTTACCTTTGAGGGACTTTGTGTTTACATAGGAGCAAATAATATAGAGCAACTTACAATATTACATATTGATCTGAGAATATTCTGTGAAGTCTTTCACAAGACAATCTGAATAGAATCTCACATGTGAAATAACGGGAAAAGTGCACTGACAGTGAACCAACATTAAATTGTGTGTATATGGGGGGGTGTATGGGAGTGTGTTGAGGTCAAAGAGTCAACTTTTAATATTGTTCTCAGTTGTTGTTGCCTTACTTATTGAGACAGTTTCTCGTTGAACCTGGAGCTTACCATTTCAGATTGACTATCTGGCCAATAACCTGCTTCCACCCCATCAGGCTCCACCCGTGTCCTTGCATCTCCCAAGTGCTGGGGTTATAAGTGTGCACAGCTCTGTCCAGCTTCTATATGGATGTTGGGTTTCTGAAGTTAGAGCCTCGTCTTGGGCACAGCAAGGACTTTACCCAATGAGCATCTCCCAATATTAAATTTTTTTAAAAAAGAAAAAGAAATCTGTTGGATTTGTTGTTGGTACAGTGGGAGGTCTCACATGTCCTATCAAGACCTGTCCTATTCAGTGTGCACTGGAAGTCACACAGGTTGACTTTTAAGTGCAATAATCCTCACTGTTTTATCTCTTTTTCCAAAGTGAGTTCACCCATGGACGAAGTGTTAGCATCCTTGAAGCGTGGTAGTTTTCATCTGAAAAAGGTTGAACAGCGGACCCTGCCTCCTTTTCCTGATGAAGATGATAGTAATAATATTTTGGCACAGATAAGGAAAGGGGTAAAATTGAAGAAGGTTCAGAAAGAAGTTTTGAGAGAATCCTTCACACTTCTGCCTGATACGGACCCTCTGACACGGAGTATCCATGAAGCTCTAAGAAGAATTAAAGAAGCATCTCCAGAGTCAGAAGATGAGGAGGAGGCTTTGCCTTGCACAGACTGGGAGAACTAGCAGGTACATGGCCTGTCGTCTCTAGTAACCAGCTGGGTGGCTTTTACCTGGCTGAGGAGCTCCAGCATTTCTTGTGTCTATGGCTTGTTCATCATACATAGCTCCATTGTAGCATGGGTAATAAGTGAATTCCAGGTTTTAACTCTAAAACGTTGTTACTCAGTTCAGTGTCTATTTTTTAAATCCTGTCCCTTTATACAACAGTCCCTCTTGTGACTAATCATCTGTATTTCTAGTGTATTACTGTTATAGTTCTTTTCTCTCCTATATGTGCCTTTTGTATCCAAGCTGGTCTAGAATTCCTTGTGATTCTCTTGCCATCATGGTATGTATTACATGGTACAGCCAGTAAAGTGTTTTGTTATTTATTTCTGTTTTTAATTTTGTGTGTGTGTGTGTGTGTGTGTGTGTATGTGTGTTGGGGCCTGGTTTATGTACATGTATGCAGTACCCACAGAGACCAGAAAAGACCTTAGAGATGGAGTTACAGGCAGTTGTGAGCCCTCTGACTGTGGTCTGGAATCTAGAGCACTTAATCATTAAGGCATCTCTCCAGCTCTAGAAAGCACCTTTAAAACACTTACAGCTGTGTGGTTTTTTCTAACTTGCTCATTAAAAATATCTACAGTGTAGTTATATTCCAAGTAAAGAAGCAGTATTATTTTTTTAATCTTGACCAGAAAAGCCTTTTTAACTGAACTACTTAAGTTAGGCTTACTTAGTTTTGATCCTTTCTTAGCTGCCCATGAAGGAGTTTTCTCAGTCTAGAAAATTGTCTGGAGTCTAGGAGTTGTCTGGTTATATAGCTTTCTAAATATACAACAGTCATACTGTTGTTCTTTACTGTATATAGTAAACATTATAATATTATATATTTATATAATTGTATATAATATACATTAATAATATATACATTATATATAATATACATTAATAAATGTTATAAACAACTTGAATCCTGTGTATAGTTTAATTGGTTATACGCATGCATCATAATACTTGCAGTCTGCTGCTTGCTTGCTTAGCCCAGGCCCTCCCCTCCCCTCCCCCACTTCCTTGTGAGATGGGAGCTCACCTTGTAGCTTTAGCTGGTCTGGCTCTAGATATATAGATCAGGCTAGTCTTCACCTCCCTTCTCAGCTGCCTCTATCTTCATGAGTTCTGGGATTAAAGGTGTATGTTACCAAGCTCTGTTGTTGTGTATTGAAAGCTAATTATGAAATGATTAGCACAAATTACAGTATGCTAAAAGAATAGTGATTATGGCATATAAGTTAGTTATGTAGTTAAAGCATTGACAGTTGTGTCAGCTGAAATAAGATAACCTGTGCAAAATGTCCAAAGCGTGGAACATTCTACTCTGAATTCTGTTCTCTGATAGACTCCACGGTATTTACCCAAACAGGAAGACTTAAGCAGACTTGGTTGTACTGTTCTGCAATACCTCGGCAGTGTTCATGAGGATTATGACTCTCAGGCCAGCCTTTAGTACATACCAAAACTCCATCTCCAAAACAGACAAGCAAACATTCTGTTTAGAGGGGATATATACAAGACAGGTTTTTGTTTTTTGTTTGTTTGTTTGTTTTTTAACCTGGGTGTGGTAGCGCACACGTTTAGTCCCAGCATTCAGAGGCAGAGGAAGGATCTCTGAGTTCATTTTCACCCAGCCTGGTCTACATAGTGATCTCCAAGAGAGTGAAGAAGTGAAGCATTCAAACAAAGCATTACCACTAAAAGGATTTTTACTGGTTCCTTTTGGACCTAGAGGTCCATTAGGAAAACCCCTATCCCTGCAGCCTCATCATTAGCTTGTGCCTCAAGCTTACACAGGGCTAAAATCATATTCTCTATAATATGTGAGTGTGCGGTACCTTCTCCCTGTGTTTTTCCTTATTGCTGTTACATGCAGAGGCCCTAATATTCAACCATTTTGCTTATATATATATGTGTGTACATTATACTGTACTTTGCTTATATATGTGTACATTATATTGTACTTTATGGAAAAGACTGGCATTCATTTTCTTTTAAGAAACATAGAGGAATATATAGGTATCAGTGTTTCTAATTAGTGTGTTGATATTCAGAGACTCAGGTTGTCTTCCTAGGGTCTTTTCCACAGTAGATGTTTGCATATCACTGCCCTTTTTATCATCCTTGTTCCTGTGGTATCTCCTGTGGCTTCTCGTGCTGTTGGCATGTGTGTCTCAGGCAGTCAGCACTGAGTGGTTAATTGTCAGCATTTCCATGCTTGTCTTCTCCCATCACACCAGGTCTTGGCTGACACGGAGGACAGGGCAGGGCCTCGGCATTTTGTCTAATTCAGCTGAGGTGATTTATGTGTCTGGGCACTGAGTGTCAGAACACTTTGTGAAGGTGTGCGAGGGGCAGATGTGTGGTCTGTACACCTGTAGAGTTCCTTTTGAAAGATGATGTTGCTCTGCCCCATCCTACCACAAGGCTTCCCAGAGACAGCCATGGCTAACAGTGTCCTGAAGTAGCTTTCTAAACATGAGACAGTTATAGACTTTATGACAGGGTTCTAATTTGTCTCCTGTAGGGTCTTTCTCAGACTTCTAAAGCATAACAGTACAAAGAAAACCGGGCACATATGTCATTCTAAGAAAGCTGCTGGTAGTCCTTTCTAAAGGGAAAGGGGCATACGAGAAATTGATCCTAATAATTTTTATTTGACAGGGGCTACAGCAATACCTTTTAGTATGCAGTTGACATAAAATTGTGAAATAGTTTATCCCTCTCCACTTAGCCTTTTCGGTATTAAGGCCCCCGAACTTTTAAGTTTTGATTCAGATGCTATTTTTATGTTGTATTTCCTGCTCTGTGAAATATCCTATCAAAATAAAAATATGCTTATTGGAAAAATACTTTGTTTGAGACTTTTAGTCTAAAAACTAGCTATTTTCTGAGTCATACTAGCTGTGTTTCAGATACTCAGTGCCCATGTATAACTTCATTAGTAGAAAATGCAGAAGTGTAATACGGAAACATGTTGCTTGTTCATGTATGTATAAAGAATGGTTTTTATCCTTCTCCTAATAGGTCAGTTGATAAAACCTGTCTGCCTCTATTGAAGTTTAAAGACAACCATTTAATAGGTCCTACTCTTCTAAGAGGAACAGAAATGAAAGTGAATCAAACACTCAATAGTGATCAGAATTTGTATTAAATGACTTTTATTCTTACTACTTTAAGAATACAATCATCATGGGGCTGGAGAGATGGCTCAACCATTAAGATCATGGCTGCTTTTCCAGAAGCCCTGTGTAGAATTCCCAGTACGAGTGCGGCACTCAGAGGTAACCTCAGCACAGGGGTCTGATACCTCTTCTGGCCTGCACAGGCTCTGAATGCACATGGTGCACATACATACTCAGGCAAATACTCATACACAGAAAATGAAATCTAACTTAAAATCTAAGTATTCATTGAAGATATTTCTAAGAGTATGAGAAAACAGACTTGTCCTACATTTAAGAGGCATTTTGTTCTAATGTTGTATTATTTTGTTTGCAAACAGGTGACTTAACAGAGAGAAGAAAAATACCCATGGATGAAGACTGGCTCTGATTCTTTTGGGGGAAAAGTTTAAGCTCTTGGTCCCACAATTGGATTCTACTAGGTCCTGAGTGTATTGACAACGCAGTGTGAAAAAGGGAAGCAGAGGGGAGGTCACTACTGCCCAGTCACTGTCACGGAGAGTGCAGTGTTCCTGACTGCAGTGAGAACACGCCTCCTGGAGACGGCCGTTTCTTACACACCCTCCTCCCATCTGCCTACTCATAGTCTCACAGTGACCAGTTACATCACTACGAATTCAAGAGGACTGGCTTGGCAGAGTTGTGCTGTGCGAGCTGTTTTGGGATCCATCTTTCAGTGACTGAGAAGATACTTGCTGAAGCACAGCTGCCTCCACATCAGTTTATAGAAAAGAGTGACATGCTAAAGAAGGCACTTATCAAGGTAGTTATAGTCAGGAATTAAAAAAAAAAAAAAAAACAAACCATGAAATGCACTTAAAATTTCCACATTATTCATCTCCAGAGGAGATGTTCAGTATCTGAGAAGCCAATGGAGGTATACCTATTAATGTGTGCACCAAAACATGACACATTTAACAAGGCATATTTTTAAGAGGCCACAGTCTTACATTTTGTAAGAGTTTGAAGTTAAAATTTCCATGCTTTTAAAATAGCATTTCATAATTCTGAATTTAGAATAGTTTGAATTTTATGTGCATCCCGTTTGTGAGAAGCAATGCTTTGTAATTTGATAATGTTGTTTTTAGTCTTTTTGTTTGAACTACTGCTTGATTACTCTATAACTCATGACTTTCCTATTGAGAATCAAGAATCAGGATTCAACAGTAGGGATACAAATGACAACACCTTGTATCATGCACCAGTGTAGGTTTTAGCGTTGTGCTCCGTGGTGAGGGGCGTGTGTTCAGTACAGGGCCAGCAGGCAGGCAGCCCCGGAAGCCTCCAGCTGGCATATCACTTTTTTATTCTGTGGATAGAACTTTAGAGAACATTTGTTGCTGTCACTAAATCTTTCAACTTACAAGTGTAGATCCAGTGCTGACTTGACTGTATCGTAAAGGGTCCATTTATGAATGGGGCCAACACAGATTGTCAATGGATTATGTGGACATGCATGAAGGCAGATATGCTGGACTCAGTTTACAGTACATTGTACTATGTGCTAATGATGAAGACAGGTCTTGGCTTTATATGGAGGAATTGAAATACCAAAAAGAACTTCATTCCTAGAAAGTTCTTCCCCAGTGTTGCCCAGAAACTTCCCTGAAGCAAAGCCTCTCAGTGTCTGCCATTGTTTGCCTCCAGGAACATGGCTTCCTCCTTGTCACTTTTAAGAGATGTTTTCCTTTAAATTAATTATGAAAAAGATTCTTGTAACGGGTTATAGAAAACCAAATCTTTGCACTTAAAATACTCATGTTTGCAGGTGAGACCGGGAGCTCACGCAGCACTTACTTTATATATTGGTTTTAGTCCAAGCATAATTCACACATCTTGTTGCAACAAGCGAAACAGCTCTCTGATAGACAAGCCTCATTCCTAGATGACCTGTGTGTCCTTTATACCCGAAGTAAAGCACCAAATGTGTCTAACCCGGAGAGTCATTGGCTAGAGAAAAATATGTGAAAAGCTTCAAAGCTTACAAACTTTCTAAAAGTCACCCATCATTTATATCTGTGTAATATTTACAGATCTATCTATCCATCCATGCATTGTATATCCAGGTTCTTTATTTATTTACTTTTGAGACCAGGTCCTGCTGTGTAGCCCTGGCTGGCCTGGAATTTGCTGTGCAGACCATGCTTAGATTTGCAGCAGTCTTCTTGTGTCTGCCTCTCTTACAGGTATGTACCAAGATGCCTGGGTCCATTTTGTTGGTGGTGTTTTGTTTTTTTTAAAGATTCGCTTTAAAAAATTATTTTAATAATGTCTAACTATGTACACAGAGGCTCTAGCTTGGTTACTGGGAACCAAACTTGGGTCTTCTGAAGGAACAGCACATGCTCTTAATCCCTGAGCCATCTCTCCAGTCCCATTTAAAAAAAAACTTCAGGAAAATGTGGAATATACTTTTTAACAAAAGCCAGTATGTTGTAGTCAGTTTTAGCACCAGATGCCTGGGCTTTGTAGGTGGGGATGGACTGGGACAGTGAGAAGCTCTCAGCACATCCCAACAATCCACAATTACAGCACGGAGCCTTCAGCCTGTTTTCCAGTAAATGGTCTTCTCCCAACATCGGCCTCGGGATTCTTGTTCTTGTACTGGAGTGTGGCTCAGTAGTAGGTACAAGACTTTGTGTTCCATCTCCAGCATTGCTTCTTAATCCTTAAGAAAAGACTGTTACTTCATAAACTCAACACACATTGGAGTTATTCATGATAATACAAATAAATAACTAGTATACATGTGTTCCTCAGATCACCAGATAAGCCATCATTAAAGTGATTTTAGGACCCCAGGAATGATAATAAACACGATGTGTTTTTCTCCCATCTTACTTTCATAGACACCTCATAAAGCACAGACATTTTGCTTAATTTTAGATGCAATCAGCAGACCAGAAGTGACGCTCTGGTCCTCACAGTTCATCCCTGTATGTAGTTGTCAGGGCATTCAGCCAGTGTTTCCATTCCCAGTGTACTTAAGTTAGCCTTCCACGGTGTCCTTGATCCACAGACACTGCTTGTCTGTGCTGTTCCCAAGTATTTTATACTGAAGTTGAGAAAGTAGGAGGAACTTGGGAAGCTTAATCTAGCATTATTCTTCATACTTGAATGTCAATTTCAAATATTTCCCTGATAAAACCAAAATTATGTATAGTAGCCAATGTACTATGTATAGAAAAGGTATCTCTAGATTAAAAGTCCTAATTGTTTTTTAGCAGTAAGACATTGCTGGAGAATAAGGACTTTTAGGGGCTAAGCAATGACCTTATTTAAAGAGTGCTTTATACAGGAGTATGAAGTTCATGAGACAGCATAAAAACAATCATTCCTTAGGTGTTCATTGTGCACTTAAAACTTTCTTGCAAAATTCTTTTTTTCCTTCGTGAGATAGGGTTTCTGTATGTAGCCCTGGCTGTCCTGGAACTCCCGCTGTAGATCAGGCTGGCCTCAAACTCAGGGATTTGCCTGCCTCTGCCTCCTGAGTACTGGAACTAAAGGCATATATCACTACACCTGTTGAAAAATCCATGTTTAAAAAGATACTGGTGTGGTATAGACTTTCCTATAGTGAACACTTTGTTGACTCTACAGTGTGTGTGTTCAGAGGGTTCTCTTCTATAAATACGAATGTAGAACAATCCTTGGTGTGACAGTATGTCCTAGAATGTGGTAAGTTACGTGGTGTGCTGCAGACACCACACACTAAGAGTTAGAATCCAGTAGGATGCAGCGTGACAGCACCCACATGGCATGAGGGCTCGTACCTTGATGCAGTTGTATTCTCTAGACTCCCTCCCTGAGAAATCTTTTTGGAGTTCATTCACAGAATATGTTCTATTTATTTAAACCAATGCTTTTAGCCCATCTTTGTAATACACTCATCAACAGAAATCCACCTGCATAGTGAGTTTCGGTCTTTAATGGGCCTATCAGGGAGTTTTGAGCTTTCTTACATTTTACCAGGTAAAATAATTAAAAGATCCTGAACAACTTCAGGACATTTCAAACAATTGCAGACAGCTTAAGATGCAAGCATTTGACAGGGGAAGCAGAGACCTTTAATTTTTCCTCATCTTTGCACTGAATATGAATGACTCTATAAAGCTACATGCGCGTATTGAACATTTGATTTGTGCTTGGTGTTGCCAGTGACCATCAAGACTGTAGACTGAAGAGGCCTGAGAAAGCAGAAGCACCTTACTTCTGAGCATACTGCGTTCACGTCTTACTACTGAAGTAGTAGTTAGGCCTGAACTTTTTGTTAAAGCACATTAAAATCTTGCCTAATTGCTCTGAAATATGAGGCAATGGCATTTTTATCCTATAAATATATGTAACTTAAAAGGTTTTTCTAGAAAATGAGTTTATTTCATTATCTAAACTGTGTGTAAACAGAAGCTTTTAAAAACAGGAGGCAGTCCTGATCCAGAGAGAGAGAGAGAGAGAGAGAGAGAGAGAGAGAGAGAGAGAGAGAAACACTAAATGTTCCCTGACTTATGTTAAAGATGTTCTTATTTTAAATTTTTTGTTTTGCCCACAGTAAATGTACAATTTGGCATTTGTATGATTTAATGGAATGAGTCCCAAGTTTATAAATGCACCCTCTCTTCAAAGCACATTTATTGGGCCACTAAGACGCATGTACAGAAAATCCCTTTGAGGCTGTTGTGCTAAAGTGTTCATGAATGCTGCTTCACACCGACCCTCATTTGTTTTGAGAGGAAGGGGAAGTTTCTTTTGTGCTTGTTTTTGTAGATTTGGTTACAGTTAACAGTGGCCCAGTTTGGGGCATTGGAAGTATGTAGGAAAGACCTTGAAATGTTTAAAAACGAAAGGTGTGGGTATTAAGAGTTGAGTTTTAACCGGAGAAAACATTTTTACTTGCATGTTGTATAGTTAACTGTCAAGGGGTGTAATGCTGCATTTTAGGTTTCTCCATGCAAATTCCATTGTCTTTCCTCTGAAGTCTTTGCAATTACCCGTGGCATTTCCCTTTTGTGTGGTTTCCCCTTCATTTGTGTGATGTAACAAGGGTTGTATCCTGTAACAGTTTCTCACAATGTCTTTGACACAATCCCCCCTGCCTTGTTGAATCTCTCTCTGTACTGTATGCACTGCCCAGTGTGAAATCATAATATGTAGTTTATTGAGAAATGGAAGGCTGCAGATTATTTTGCATGAGTAAAACCCACTGGGGCTAAAGAAACTGACACTTTCTACCAGTTTTTGGGTAAATGAAGATTACAATGGCAGACTGACTCACCATTACTAGCTTCATGCAATGTTATAAAGGCAAAACACTATGCACTGTGCTTGGCTTTACAGATGGCTTTCCCATCACAACATTAGTGGATTGTCCACAGCATACTATAAATGCCATCTCTTGCAAATTTATATACGTAAATATGCTCAATTAACACTCAAGTATTAAAAGCATAAGGAAACTACTTAAGCAGGCATTTGTAGCAATACTATGAAATCTCCAATCACTGTTTTGACTGTCGCCTTCTGCTCCTTAGTGCAGCCTTTCTGCATCGTAGTTGCTGCCTTTTTACAATTCACACTCCTGTTGTCAGAGTTAAGGACTTGCTCACCCAGTGTTGCACTTACCTTTCTTATTGTACATGCAATGTAACAACACACAGTTTTGGTGCTTAACAATATTCCTTTTTTTTTCTTTAATAAAGGATATTTATTTGAATTAACTTGATTTTGTTGGTTTAAATATTATCACCAGTAAGTCTTTTTATTTTAAAATGGAGCATAGCAATACTGTACAATTTTAATATGTTTTACTAGTTACTTCTTGTACTAATACCTTGACAAGAGGCAACTTAGGGAGGGAGCTTATTTTGGCTTAGAGTTCAGGACAAGTCCGCCATGGCATGGTCAGGAAACAGAGCCTCCTGTGTTCAGCTTGCCTTCACCTCTCCATTCAGCCCAGGTAACCATGGGATGATGTTCACATGTTCACTGAAGGTTTTTCTTCTTCAGTTACTCCTTTCCAAAAACACTTTCAGAGGTTATTTCCAGTGCTGTGTTTCCATGGTGATTCTGAGTACAGTAAAGTTGATGATTCAAGATTAACCGTTACAATTATGTAGAACCTGATTCGTGGACTATCCACCCCTGAACTGTTCTTCCCTGAGTGCTGTTGTCAAGGCAGCTTTACCTGTACTGTTTGTACACATGTACAGAGCTTGAACATGTTTTCCCAAACTCGGAGAATTTTAAATGTCTTCATTTCAGGAGTTAATTCATGATTATCTAAATTGAAAGAGATTATCTTCATACTTGGAAATAGCTAACTAGAGGCCAGGACATACTGGCCAGTTTCTGTCATAATAGTAGCAGAACGGGTAAAATCTACTTCCCAAGGGGATGGAACTTGGATTGACAACAAATATTTTTATGTAATTGAATGCCAGATTATGTCAGAATTTGGATTAGGAGTCTGAGGCAGAAGATAAGAGGTTAGCTGCCTGGGGTACAGCCCTGCACAGGGCCCTGTGGTTCTGAGGTCAAGTGTGTCCACTTGACAGCAACTCCCCGAATAAAGGATCATTTTCATGCTGAAACAAAGACCCAGATTTCTCATAGTCCAGGTTTTCCAGTCATTCACATTCTTCTCTTCACTATTTTGTCTCCCACAGTCTAGGCTGTGACCCTCTTTTCAGATATAGGCAATACAGGGCTCAGTTCTATTATCTTTAAGCTGAGATACAACTCTACAACTCCCCTAAACTGTCAGAAGAGGCGGCCATAGTGTTCTGCGCCCCAACATCTGGAAGGTTTTCTTACCTGCTCTGACTTACTTTCTTGTTTACTTCTTGTTACCTAAGGTTTGGAAATACCTGGATACAGTACCTCCCACTCCCCAGCTCATACTAGCCTTATGAGCATTAAACTTGGGCTCTCGTAACGGCTGAGCCGGAAAACTAACTCACTCTTTCCCATTACTCAGTAACTCTGGATAGGTGGTTTTCTTGTGGCCTGTGACTCTTCAGCTCACTAGCACTCTGTGTCCAGCTGTGTACTGAATTCTTCGTTTGGTTCTCTGATCCTGTCCACTGTTTCCCACCTTGCACTGTTGCTCTTGGACCTTTCAATCTCTGCCCACATCTGTCTTACCAAAGTCTTACCAAAGTTACCAGAGTCTCTGGCATCCTGTTTGGCATGAAGCCATCCTCCTGTCTCGATCTTCATCTTTCAGCTGTTCTGTGGCACTGGCTTCCTTCCACATGGTCTCTCCACTGTAATTGCCTCTGCATACATCTGTAGAGTGGTCGAGCCATGCTCCCCTGCGGTGCATTCTGTGAACTCCAGGAGACTGACTTCGCCTCTGCCATCTGCTCCTCTGCTTCCTGAACTTTCTGTAGACTTTTACTTCTGGAGCTCTAAGCAAAGCCTCTCTTCCTAACATTGTCTGTGCCCTCCACACCCCCAGTACATACACAGTGTGAGCAACTTTGCATGTCTCATTCATATATCTGTGTCTTAAACCTTTGTATCTGAGCTCATGTTCTCACTTGGAGGTGTTTGATGTGAAGGGAAGGCATCACTAGCAATAGTTTGGGTTCAAGGAACTTGCTTACGCTCTTCCTGTCATTGCCTCGTGAGTGTTGAGGTTACAGATCCATGCTACCATGCCTGATTTTTATGTGGAGTACACAGAGGTCTTAGGCAAAGTGAGCTCATTAGGCTGGGCCCTAGCCCAGTATTACCAGTGCTTGTTCACAGTAAGAAAGCTGTTGACAAACTGAAATCCTCCCCTTGCTGCCTTCACCAGGAGCCAGCCCTGCAGGCACCCTGACTTTGCACTTCCAGAACTGAGATGCAAAGCCATCAGCCTGTGACAGCTGGATCCAGCAGCCCTAGCAAACCATGATAGCATCTATCAGGTTTCTACCATGGTGTCCCCTCAGGACCTTGGTCTTTTCTCAGGTCTGTCCCATTACCTGAGTCAGTCTGTGATGAGTCAAACTAACTAGCTGTCTCATTGAGTGCCCCTGCATTTGCTGATGCAGTTGCTTTCAGATGAACCAGGTAACTAACTGTACCCACTGGATGAAAAGCACTAACATGGGTCTCCTGCCTGGGGCATGGCCCTCTGCTCTGTCAAGTGGAACTTCTCTGAGGTGACAGACTAGGACAGCATGGCGGTTTCATCTTCTGTTACAAGCTAGACAAAGTGAGAAAAGATAGGGAGTAGACACTTGACTGGGGTGGCTGTTTGCAGAATCAAAAGTATCCCCACAACAGTTCTGTTGAACTTTATAAATACTTCAATATTACCAATTTTTGGAGAGAGTTAAAAAAAAAGCACTTAAAAATGCCAAGAGAAATGAGAGGAAAACCAGTACAGCACCCACAAAAACAGTTAGCCTTCTTAGTAACTAGAGTTTACACTGAATCCCAAGACACACACTCATAAATGGTTATACTTTAATTACAAGTGTAGACATGGACATACACTACTGACAGTGCTATAAATAGGTACTACTGTGGAAAACTACAAGACATCCACAAAGACAGGGCATGATGCTCTCCTGAGACATAAGTTGTGGGTATGTGTGCACCCAAATCAGGAGACAAGTGTGCTAGTGGTAGCCATCTGTAATAGCCAACAACTAAAGAAAAAATGTCCTGTCAGCAGGTAAGTGAACAAAGTATTCCTAAAACATGAATGTACTCAGTGGGGGACAGCAAGGGAAAGGAGTCTAGCTTAAGACAGCAATTTGGGCCAATCCCACAAGGAGCAATGCCTCCGATGGTTGTTTGTAAAAGGTTTAGAAACCTGTTTGATTAGGTCTATGCATTTTAAAAATAAGTATTGCATAACATGTCTTTAAAAATGTTTTTAGGGTTCTATAAATTGCTCCTAGAATTCAGCTGCCTAATTCTTTTATTTATTTATTTATTTATTTTGCAAAATCATTTGCATTGCCTCTTATTAAAGCTCTGAGGACCATATATAGGTGCTTCACTTTTTCATTAGCTGGCCACCAGTGAGCCAGATCCAGCGCCCTGGTGGCAGTAAGGCAGTGCAGGCTTCTGAAAGTATTCTCTGAACTGTTTTAACTGTGTTTGTGTGTGTGTGTGTGTGTGTGTGTGTGTGTGTGTGTGTGTGTGTGTAAACTCTTCTGTCAAAAGTTTTTTTTCTTAATGTATATTTCAAGTCATGTAGGTGTGATTTTTAAGAACAAAACCTGCTGCTATGTAGCAGTATAGAATAAGGAACAAGGACTTGCCTGGTCTCACAGCTCAGGATGTAAAAATAGAGGCAGAAGGATGAGTCTGTGCTTCTCATTATTTGAGAGCCCTGAAAATCACACAGACGAGTATTGCTTGTCATTACCTGGAAGATAGTTTAGAAAAAAAAAAGTCCAAGACCAGAAAGATGTTCTGAAAAAGCAACAGTTAATGTTTATTTTCATAATACTGGAAATTCATATGGCTTGTTTGCATCACAAAATAAGCAGTATTAAGTCACAGTTTAAGTTAATAAAAGCCAGTAACTTCAACTTTGGAAGGAATTGAGTGCAATCATGCACATGCCATCTAGTGCATCTTTAAGATGCAGCCCTAAAGTAAAGACCATGGGTTGATGCACGGGGAGGTGGGTCAGATGATAAAGCTGGCTTCCCACACCATTGCTCTACCCTAAAGCTACCATCACATACTGCAGGCTCCAGTGTTCCCACTGTAGAGCAAGACTGAGCTACTTAGAGGCACTGTCAAAAAGTGTCCACAGCATGGATGCAACAAAAACAAGAAAAGGGAACCACAAAACAAAACAAAAAAACATAACAATTTGGAAACTGGGACAGGAGTAAAATCACTTGCATACAAAAAGTAAGACAAAAGACCCATGAATATGCTGTGGTTATGGTGAGGACGATGAACACTTGGAAACCAACTCCATGACTGCTGAGATTACAAATTCAGGCATGAACCAGGCTTGGTGACACACCTTTATTCCTAGCAAGAGGACTGCAGAGGCGGGTGATCTCTGAAGTTGAGCCCAGCCTGGTCTAGGTAGCAAGTTCAGTCCAGCCAGGGCTACATAGTGAGACTCCAACTCAAAAGTTAGAATTGAGGCATGACACTGAAGAACTGAAGAAAAGGAAGCTGGCCGGAAGTGAACAGTGGACAGTTGAGAGATTCCTCCCACTAGGACACACTAATTCTTGCCTAGCAGATGAGAGAAACAGCAGGGATTTTCCTGTTGGTAGGAATTCAGGCTAGACTTGCTTCCCCATGGAACAGCAGTTATCTGAAGAACAGCCCCGCAGTACGAGGACTTTAGGAGCTCCCAGAGGAGCTATACAGGACAGAGCTGGGAGACGTTACTCTAGTGGGAGATGTTCTAGTTAAGAAGTTGCTGGAATCCAGTGAGGTCTCTAGAGTGAAGTGGAAGGTACTCAGTGAATATAGTTAAGAAGCTGTAGAGCATTGGGCAGGGTGTGTTAAGGTAAAAGGCACTAGTGAATGCTTATGTGATGCCTAAGAGAGAAAAAGCCAAAGGACCAGGGGTCACTGTGCTCCGACTTCTTAGTTTATAATTAAGAAGCTGGTGAGCCAGGCAGAGTGGCAGCCAGTTGTAATTCCAGCACTCGAGGGACAGGAGAATGTGAGGTTCAAGACCAGCCTAGGATACATAGCAGGACCTCAAGAAAAAGAAAACTAGGTATCCTAGCACCTT